TTGGCTGAGGAATCTGCAGTCATACCAACAGGAATTTGCAGTAATAGTCAAGAACTCATGGATTGGTTGTCCATTGCCTTGAAACTGTTGGAAAATTGTTTTTCTGATAGTAAATTTCTATATCAGTATTAGGAAAAATTTAGACACTTTCCTGATAGTATGATTCAAAGAAAGGGACACAATTTCATGCAATCCTAAAGAAAACTAACTTCATACATGTAGTGCCAGGAGAAACCATAGTCTGGTCATTCTGCTATCTCCAATTTTAAACCACAATCATATATACTTGATGTGCATCATTTAGTGATATGATTAAAATTGTGTACATATATCATGGTAGTGTTGTAAAGAAATATCTATAGTAATGTCAATGTTGAGGTACCATTGTTGTTAAGAAGTATCCTGGGAACGATTCATAGAGATGACTGAAATCCTGAGCTATGTACCTTCCCAGCTGTGCACATTATGCGTGGCACAACATAGTCCAGGAGATCATGAGACAAGCTCTCTAACATCAGGGAGATAATCTGAGAAACAAACACCCCTCAAACAAGGGTCTACGGAGTGATGTTTCCAGCTTGGTCCAGTTCCCTATTGTACTAGGCACGAATGTCCTTTATGCACTGGAGAAATCAAGCTGCCCCCCAGAGTGGGCATTCTGTGTGGAAGGATGTGTAAATAACAGGTTATTTAACAGATTTCTGAAATAGGTTCCATTTGAAGAATTCACATATGGTACAAGGAAGGAAAGTACAAGGGAGGAGATGAGAAAAACAGATCACACATGAAAAAGAAATTTTCAAAAAAAAAAATTTTGTTAGAGCTGATAGTAAAGACTGGGGGATACTCATGGTTAAGACTCCCTTTAATATCTGGGGCCAGGAAGGAGTCATGTTAGATATGGTGCCATCCTGCTGTCACTATAGTCACTTCATGACTTCTCTTTGGCATATCTGAATTGTAAACTTCACTCTTCATTCACTTAAGAGTCATTATTAAGTAAAGAAAGAATTATTTGAATACAAGCATGGTGACACCATGACAGTTGATCTGATATTCAAGATGGCTACTAAATGACTAGTGTAGACACTCTGGACAGAGGGAAGAATCATGTCTCAAGCAGGATGGAATAGGATGGCATGGGATTTCATCATATTACTAAGAATGAAGCACAACTTAAAGCATAAATTATTTATTTCTGGAATTTTCCATTCAGTATTTTCAGACCACAGGTAACTGAAATCCTAAAAAGTGAAACTGCAGATAAGGGTTATGATTTGGGTAATTGTGTAGCGAAGAGGAGTCAGCTCAACTGGCTCACATACAATTTACATTATAGGTTTTTTTTAAACCTATAGGATGAGTGGTGTTAGATTTTCTGCTGTACTTTTTACATTTGTTTATTTTTACAGATTTTTTTTGTTTCTTTCACTTCTATCTTCTTGCTAGTATTCCCTTCTCCACTTAATCAAACAGCTCCATTTTTAATCCTCCATTTGATTCATACATTCATTTAATCATTCCACAAGTTTAATTTATACCACCAATTCCCAGATACTGTGCTGTTTGAGGAAGAAAATAAAAATAAACTGCTCTCCTAGACCTTCAGTCAAGTGAGGTGAACACCTATTAATTCATTTAACTCAAACACTTCAAGAATACTATACATTTTTGTATTTGCTATGTTCATACAAGCTTTGCTATAGGAAATTTGTTAACAGAGGCCCTGAGTGTGGGTGCAGTCACAATTAAACTGCTGGCGAAGGCACCTTTGTTGCAACAGATATTTTCATTGCTTGGACAGTGTCCTGGTTGTTTCCGTTCTTTTTTCATCACAAAAATTGAGATTGGCAATATGCATAGCATCATTGAACATTCATTGTGTTTTGTTTGCAAATGTTACTTGTTTTACAGATTCTGTAATGTTGAAATGTGAGGAATTAAACGAAATAGTAAAGAAAGAATAATGATTGTCCTGTACTATGACCCCCACATCTCTTTTATACTGGCATTTGCCTGGAAAGAGCCCTCCCCTCTCCTATTTGGGGCAGCTTACACTGGCTGGATTTCTGTAGCTTCTAACAGTAGTTCCTAAACAGGCATGCCAGTATGTCTTCAGAAGGGAAATGCCACAGCAGGTCCCTTAAACTGTACCCAGAGGGGAGAAATGCAAATGCTGCAGGGAAGTTTATTTTGCTGTTCTTTCTTCCAAAAAACAAAATGCAACAGCCTTACCATGAAATGAGATTTGATGAACAATAAAAATACAAATGCTGAGAACCTGGCTAGGTCAACAGCCTGCCTGAGAGTTGCCTTAATAGTCTAACATGTCTAGAATAATAACTTTAAGTCTTAGACACCTCTTGACCCACTCTCTTCATTTACTAAACATAGAAATTGAGGCTCAGAGAAATTCATTTTTTTACTTTTCCAAGATGATAGATAATAATTCATACTTTCTATTGATGATGGCATACTGTTCTGTCTATATCTAATTTTATAAGTGTATATACAATGTTCTCTATGAACAAATGATTTTGCTATAGTGCCATGTAGTAGGTTGAAATCCAAAGGGAGACACTAATAATACCATCTCATGTTAAATGAGCATTTGGAATATGCCAGGCCTGGAAAGAGAACAAGCTCATATATGAGTTGCCTCAAGAGAGCAAAAGTCCTTTTAGTGTGACAGTGGCAACCACGTATATGGATGAGCAGACAGACTCCCATAATTTTGTTCGATGTGACTTAGAAACTGAAATGACACCCCTTTCAATGTCATGGGAATGAGGCTGTGAAGAACAGAAATCTTTTTTTATTTTTAGAAAGAAAATTTTTTTAATATTTATTTTTTAGTTTTCGGTGGACACAACATCTTTATTTTATTTTTATGTGGTGCTGAGGATTGAACCCAGTGACCCGTGCATGCGAGCCAAGCACACTACCGCTTGAGCCACATCCCCAGCCCCAGAAATCTTTTTAAGTGAACTTTCAGGAGAGAGCTGTTGATGCTGTGGGGTGGTAGGGATCTAGGTACATCTCACTGAATCTTCCTGTGTTGAAAATATTCAGGTAAATCATGGAAAATCCCAAGACTCCACAACAGGAAGGACAGTCCCCTAATATAAAAACTGATCAAAAGGACCCACATTTGTGGAGCCATGACACCCTGGGCTTTCCCAGGACTCTGGGGTCTGAGCTGGGCTCTGAAGGCCATCACTAGGAGCCTGAAAACTATCACTTAGAGCTGATAGCCCTTTAACTCAGTAAGGCACAGATGCCAAATCACCCTTGGCTTTGACAAATGGACAGTGTGGTGGCGCCCAGGAACTCTGAGATTTAGGGCAGAGACAGGAATGGGTTGACCAATGTCTTATATGTGAACATGAATGTCCATGATGTAGTTCTGTTGTTCTATTTTCTACTGGAGTTTTATCATATGAAATACAGGATAGGGTTTAGTTTAGAAGGTACCTAGGAAGCCCTCAGACCTCCACCATCTTTGAACATCTTTACTAATTCAGAAAGTTTGGTGACTAGCACTAAGTTGCCCAGAAATGTGTGGTGAAGTTGAATCATTTCATTAAGTTGGGCAAGTAAATTTTTCTAGGCCTCCATTTACTCATCTGTAAAGTAAGAGAGTTGGACTTAATAAAAGATAACAGCCATCTCTAACCTGTGTTTCTCTCTGAATAGGAAGATAGTGGAAGAACTTTGGAGAAAGCCGTCATGGGGCTTCACTTCTCAGAGGCACAATACATTGACCAACTTTCCTTGTATATGCAAGGTGGCTGCTAGTGATTTTAAAGTGTGTCCTTATTCATGATACTGAGTGTAATTTTTTTGAACAGTTCTTTAACTGAAGATATAATGTTACAAGTTACTTCATGTAGACACATTGCAGTTCTAGTCTTCTCTGAATTTGTACACCCGTTCCTCATTAGGGGAAATGTAGGCAGCTGGCTTCTTCTCCAAAGAGGTGGTGTGTAGACATGTATTGGACTTCTCTTTTAGGCATCTTCTCTTGACTCAGTTTCCAAAGTGACAGAATCAATTTCCATGAGTGACAGATCTATTAATTTTAAATGCATCTGATTTTTTCTTAGTGAGCTCTTTCTTCTTTTTGGAGAGGTGGACATGAGCATAGCAGATGTGCTTAGGATATTTGCATACTTGAATGTGTAAAATAAACATATTTCTTAGTCATCAAGACAATTTTTTTTTCCTATAAATGTTTCTTACATAGCTCAAAGGTGTATTACTCTGTGGACAGTTTCAAAAATTGGAAAGCAGACATACTTTAGCAAAATAAACAGAAGCCAAGGGATATTGTATAATATAGTGTCAGTGTTGTTGTTTGTATCAGGCTTAATCAAACTAAACCATCAAGTTAATTTAGCTGCATGTTTATTTGCCTGAACTTTAGAGGGTGGACTAGGTACTGCCAGTGGTCACCCTTTATGAGTGCAGATGAAAGGGGTTCCAGCAAGTTGGAGGAACATGTTTTCTTGTGATAGTTCAAAACTTCTTTTAAAATTTGCCCACAGTTAAAATTATTTTCTCAGTTCTATCTGGCTATTCAGACTACAGAGCAGCTATTTATTGTTTCAAAGTGGTGTTCTCTTAAATTCTATTGTCTGTTTCCTCATCCTTGAAAACTAAATCATATTACGTGATCTCAAAGTTCTCTTATAGGTAATAGTTTTTGAGATTCGTGAAAGTTATTTGTTGTGAAATGTTAGAGAAACCTGGTGTTTTTACTTCGGACCTTTTAAATAATCTCACTATAAAGAGCAATCATTTAAATTATGATTCTTTTTTTTTTATAAGAATAGTTTGAGAGATTATTTTCAATTGTCTCCTCTTTTGTACTTGAAGGAAGAGATTTCTTTTGTTATGTTTTAATGATGCAAGACCATAAATCTATCACACTGACCACTAGCCTATATGAACTGTTAAGGCACATCGTTTATCTTTATTTCATAAACCATGAAAATAAATGATAGTATGGCATTGTAATTGATGAGCTCCCAAGCCTTACACAGTCTTCTACCTATTTTATTTTACACTGTTAAATCCTTCTTGTGGTAGACTAGATAATTACAGAAAGTAAATGCCACCTCATTTATGTAATTTTTCATGAATATGTTGAAATACAAATTGCCCTGTGAAAATACAATTAAAGGGGAAAAAGCATATTATGGAATTCAAGTGGCTATAAGAATGCTCATAGCCTCCTTTAGCCAACAGAGAGGGTGATGACCTTTTAAATCTTTTATTCTAATGCCATTGAATATAAAATGGACTTTAGTCCTGCCAGTTCACAGTTTGTTCTGGTTCTTGCTTGTTTTCGGATATTTTGTGACCTTGCTTTTCACAGGCTTTGAGCCAAAGTTCTTTTCCCTGACCCTGGAGTTCTTGGATTTCTGTTTTTATCTGCTGCATTTCAGACCTATAAACAGCATTGTGGCTGTCAGATTTGTCCCTTGCTACATGGTATGGAAGATAAGCCAGGTACTAGGTCTCCACAGCAGGGGCAGGGTCCTATGGGGACTTCTGAGGGGGTTCCTTTTGTTTTGATTTTTAAATCTTGTTCGTGTAGCAGCCATTAAAGAGAATAAAAATAAACTCTGTACACAACTGTTTTGTGTCTTCAGTAACTTGGAATTTTTCTGTAGAAAGAGAAACGCATCATTTTATCAAGTTCACATTATACAGAGGTGGTCATGTGACTTGATGTTTTAGAGAAGAGTTAAGGCATCTTCAAGTCGGCTTTATACCATTGAAGTAAGCTTTTATACCTTTATGATGTAAGGTGAATTGGGGGAGAAAGTGAGAGAAGTCAAAAGTTTTTTCTTCCATAAATATTTTGGAATGTATTTTCATTTTTTCTAATTTCCTTCATTAAAAAATAGGTAATGTAACAGAAATATGTCAGAATTTGTCAGCTGACATTGGTGTCACTGTGGTTATTACCAGGAATAGGTATATTAGATGTTCAAATGTCTTGTGTATTTTAGTATTGACCACAGAATGAGTTGCTGATGCCATATTAGTCAATTTTAATCAAAAATATTTATTTTAGGGTTGGGACTGTAGCTCAGTGGTAAAGCACTTTTCTAGCATACACAAAACCCTGAGTTTAATCCCCAACACCTCAAAAGATTGATTTTATATTATTTTTCATTATTATATAGACTTTTTCTTCCACAAATGTGTCTGTTATACAAACATTTGATTTTCTAAGAAAAAGGTACTTGGGTACTTGATCTGGAAAAGATTATGCTTCTTAAAATGATAATATCTTGGCATTTGTAAGTAAATGGATGGAGTTGGAGAATATAATGCTAAGTGAAGTTAGTCCCAAAAATCCAAATGTTTTATTTGATATAAGGATGCTGATTCATAATGGGGTTGTGGGGGAGCATGGGAGGATTAGACAAACTCTAAATAGAGCAAAGGGAGGGAGGGGAAGGGAGGGGGCATAGGAGTAGGAAAGTCAGTAGAATGAGCTGAACATCATTACCTACCCTAAGTACATGTATGAAGACATGAATGATGTGACTATTTTGTGTACAACCAGAGATATAAAAAACTGTGCTCTATATGTATAATATGAATTATAATGCATTCTTCTGTTATATAATATATAACAAATTAGAATTAAAAAAGATAAATATTTATAACTTGTGGTATTATATCACAGAAATTCACAAGTGGACCTTTTAGCAATGTTGACTAAATTGTCAAATAGATTTCACCAAAGATAATTCCTGCAAATACACAGTAATGTAAATTTCAATAAAACTTCAAATTTTAATACTGATATCTTAAGAATTCCAATTATGCTGTTCTTAATCTCAAAGAGATCTGATGATTAAAAAACCTTAATTCAGATAAGAGATGCCTCTGATGTTCATACTCATTTCAGGTATTTCAGCCTAGTCAAGTTCTGCTTTCTCCCTCCCAACCCCTTTCTGCCCACAAGACTCTGCATGGACTTCAGTGCAGCACAATGGCTCCCACCTGGCCAGAGTCAAAAGCTCTCATGGAGAAAGCCCACAGCCTGTGATTTTCAAGTACATGGCCAGCATGGACCAACTCCAGGCCCTAATTGACCAGGCGGACCACTGCCAACAGGAGCTAGCTTTCCACTGCAGGAAGTCAAGGCTTTCAGCTCACCTTGGTAAGTCATCAGCCATTGCAGACTTTAGTTCCCAGGAGCTTGCAGCAAGCAGGTGTAGATTCATGAGACTCCTGTATCCACAGCACCAAGGTCACAGCCTGGAAAGTACAAAGATGCTTTTCCCTGGGGACAAAGAGCCAAGGCAGTAGTTGCTCTTCTTTGCTGAAAGCTTGAGTGGTCTGAAGTCTCTTCCCAGGCTCACTTGGGCAACTGAGCAACAAAGATGTTCTGATGAGGCCCTTGTTCATACATTATGAGGGGCAGCATTGCCTCACTGTGTTTTATCTCAGAAAAGATTGCTAACAGCATGGCTTAGTTATTTGAAGGTGATTATTCCATGAGATTATCTCTCAGACTGAATGCAACTAGTATCTTGGATAATTGCTAATTAGAGAAAAGAGTTGGTGTCCTACAGTTCTTTTAGGACTCAAGGTAATTCTGCTGATAGCTGATTATCTATTTTTAATCCACACTGGAAAATTCTGTTGTGGGTTTTATATCTTCTCCCTTTGAAGCCATTCAATTTGTGAATATGTCCAACCCTGCTGCCATCATGATACTTCTTTGGTTTTCTGGAGGCTGGTCTGCCTTCTCTGATCAGGCATGCTGGGGAGTGGTAGGCAGAATTCTCTGAGGCCATGTTTCAAGTCTGTCTCTCAGCATCTGTGGGTTTGAACTATTCTTTAATAGTTCTGAATCTATAGAGCTAAGACACTCATCTCTCTAAGACTTAGTAGTGCAGCATCTATAAAGCATGTGAAATAAATACTATTTATTCACAGCTCTGTAGTGTATTGAATTTATAGTTAGAGCTAGGAGGCCTAGTACTTATTGTTAGTCCATTGCTACCATATAGATCACTGAACTAAGATTGTATATTACCAAAAGGATTAGAAAGTCGGCTCCTAGAGATTAAATCAGTGACATAAAACAATCAAAGTTGGGCCATTTAACCAGAGAAAATGAGGCAAATGAAGTAGTGGTGTTTTTTTTTTTTTTTTTTTTTTTTTGACTGTTAGCTAACCAATAACAATCAGAAAAAAAAAATCACCCAGTGAGTCTGGGAATAAAACTCATGGATTCCCATCATATGGTCTATTCCAGAAGTGGAGAATTGCCTAGATAGTAAAGAATTTCTACCTGAAGGGGTGGTGTGTTTCTAGTGATCTGCACATATTTATTTGATTGTTGCCTTTCCATATAAATATTTCAAACAACAAGAGTGACACAAATAAGTGTTTTATTGGGCTTAGGACAAAAGAAAGACAGAGAAAAGAATTTTAAACTTATTAAACCCTTTCTAAAGAAAATGAAAGGAATACATTATAGATACTCAAAATTTGTGAATTTCTTACATGCTGTCTCTGGAGAATTTTCAGTAGACAATTAATTCAGACAAATTCAGTTACAGACCCATGTATGTTCAGAAGCTTTAAACCAGAGAGAGATAAGATAGGCAGCTAGTGTAGCCCAGTTCATTCAAATCATTACACTAATTGGCTTTGTGTCATCAATCAATGCAAATAGGTATGCAGAACATGGATGTTGCCCTTGTGCAGAAGGTGTAATGCCAACCAAAGCCTTCAACTAAAGCCTTCCTTAGAATGTTGCAGAGTGAGAAGATCAAGAAAAACTTCAATAGGGGGAGCAAATAGCATCAGGTTAGAGGGGCAAATAGCATTCAAGATACAGATCCATTTCATTTCCAGAAATTTTTATGAAACAAATTCTCAGAAAGTATTAGGAACCAATACCTCGATTAATCACAAGTAGAGACTCAGGCACAGCAAGATGGGCCATAGTTTAGTAGTATTTTTGTTGTTTGATTTTGCAACTTACCTGGAAGGAAAGGTTAGGCACCAAGAAGGTGAGTCTTCTCAGTTCCAAATAAAGAGCCAAGCCATGTCATAGGGGAAAAAGAAGAAAAAAAAAAAAAGAATAAACATGTGTCTCTAAGCAATTTTTAACACACAATAGGGAATGTCAGCCTGGTGCAGTAGCACATGCCACTGGGAAATGGCTCAGGAGGCTAAGGAAGGAGGATCAGAAATTCAAAGCCAGCCTCAGCAAAAGCAAGGCACTAAGCAACTCAGCGAGACCCTGTCTCTAGATACAATACCAAATAGGGCTGGGGATGTGGCTCAGTGGTTGAGTGCCCCTGAGTTTAATCCCCGCTATCCCTCCTCCTCCCCCGCCAAAATAGGGAATGTCAGTGTTATAAAGACAATTTTTGTCTTCTAGCATCTTCCAGGTCTTTGTATTAGAAAGTTTCAAAGGATACAATCATGGGTGGCTAATAAGGAAGTGTGACAGTGTTGATGCTGTGGGAAAATATTCAGTTACCACATTGTGAATGAATACTAAGGTGACTGACAATTGTACCTGTGGTCAAAATACTTGAGGAAGTAGAACAGTATACTTTGTCCATTGATTCCTTACTTATTCCTCTTCATTTCAGCCTCTGATTCCTTTTGATGTCTTTTTAAATCATTCCCTATACAAATTCTCTTGGTCACTCAAATAAATCTTGAATGGAGCCAAAGACATTCTGTACTTTTAAAAACATTCTTTTGTTCCTAATTTATGAATAAAATTATAAACTCCAATACAAACACAAAATTGTTCATTTATATATATAAGGGTTTTTTGCTGTTAATCTGTGAAAGAATGAATGTTGAATAATTGTTTTTTAAAGTGGAATTTTGAACACATCTATCAAATATCTTGTTAAAAGTTCTGCTCCCTAGAGATAAGTTTGCAACACTTTTTAAAAAGGAAGAAGGCTGGTTGATACTGATTCTTTGCACATGCCTCAACCACTGGTTCAGGGCTGAGTGATGATGAATGCAGTTAGTATGCTTGCAAGCTAAGATGTTGTCAGCAGAAGCAGAGGGCTCCTCTAACAGGGAGCCATCATGCTGCTTGTGAGTTAGGGAGAACAGAGGTCCCATTTCAGATTCTCAGTAGTGAACCAGTGGTGACAGCTGATGGGTTTGAAAGAGCATGTTGAAAATGACAAGCATCTTTGCAACTGATTTACTGTTACTTCCATTTTCCCTCTGGTCCTGCTTCTCTATGGAGGGGGAAGTGCCCCTCCCCACTTGCATACCACCCACTTTCTAGTCACCTCACTCTCACCCTCACCTGGACTTAGCATCAAGATGAGCCCCCTTAGAGTTGAGGTGGCCTCCGACTCTCTGTGACTGAGTTATGGTGGCTCTGAGCAAGTGGTGCTGGAGGACTCAGATATAATTGGCTCAGAGTTGTTCTGAACCCCAAATTCACCTCAAGCATGAAGGTGAATCTCCGCAGTTTCCAAATTAAGAGCCAAGCCATTTAGTGGAAGAAAAAGCACAAACATGTCCCTAAGGAATTTTTAACACACAATAGGAAATATCAGTGTTACATTAATTAAAATAGTAAAAGAAACCATATTTTGTATAACAAATTCTTTCATGGCAGTTTAGTATCTCCAAACAGATTTTAGGTTCAATGTATAAAATAATAATGTATAAATAGTAATAATTCTCAATATTAATTTTTTAAAACATTCAGGAGTCCTTTAAAAAATTATCCTCTTATAGAGTTAAAAATGTGATCACTTCTAAAATAGTCTATTTTTAACATAGAGGGGAATAAAGGAATGATATGGGGAGGCAGGTAGCGGGGGGCAAAGTAGGTGTCACCTTTCTCATACTTGTCTTTCAGATGGAACCCCAGTGAGCTGGTGGGTTGGAAGAACCAATGAAACACACACTTACTGGGGAGGTTCTCTGCCTGATGCTCAAAAGTGTACTTGTGGATTAGAGGGGAACTGCATTGATTCTCAATATCACTGCAACTGTGATGCTGACCAGGATGAATGGTGATTTCCACATGCTTTCCCTGTGCAAACTGTAATTTTTTAATTGCTTAAACTGTGTACCTTAGGCAGATATTAGACAAGATAGTACAATAGGGAGAATAAAGAATTTCCTAAGAAGTTAAAGAATAAGTTTTGATGTGTATGACGTCATTTATCTAAGGCCTAAAATATGAAAATGATTTTTTTCATTTATCTGTGAATAATTATGTCCGTTTTATTCTTCTAATAAAACAAAATGGAAATACCAGATTGTTTCACATTAAGTGAAAGTACAATATCAGCCTTCTTAAAGTTAAATTGATTTTCCATGGCTGATCTTGAGTTGTTTTTTGACCCCCTAAATCCTTAAATGGCCACATGAGGGAAATCAGAAAAGGCCCTGGCTCCATGAAAAGAACATATGGAATTCTAAATTTTCCCTACAGTTAGAGGTCTCAAAAGGCTTCAAACCCAATGAAAAGGTGAATAAGGACAAATCTTCCAGTTAGCACATGAGATAGAAAACTCATGTCTAGACACTCTCACACAGATTTTTAATTCAATACATAATTTTAATTGCAATATATAAGATCGTTTCAAAAATTAAATTACCATGGCCACAGGTTGGTAGCTCCAATAGCTTGTCATAGAATTACAAGATATTCTTACTACAGGTCTGCCCTCCTCCTTCGTTCAGGAATCACAGGGTTCTGACAGATAAAATGCCTTGAAGTATAAGCTCACACTCCAGTTTTACAAAACACAAAAGAAAGTGGGAGGGTAGAGAAACGGCAAAGGGCAGAATTGGAAATGTAAATGTCCCAGATAATGGGTATAATTAGAAATGTAAAATAAATGTATGAGCAGATTGAAAAATAAGCAATGGAGTTGAGAAAACAATCAAATACTATTAATAGAGATAATTGCTATTTACAAAAGAACCAAACAAATGTTTGGAAATGAAACTATTGTTTTTATTGAAAATTTTAAGACTTGTTGGATCAAATATTGGACACAAGTGATTTGAAGACTAGTGAAATGATTAATATATGTAACCAAATTACGTGGCTTGTAGCACAGAGAGAAATAAAATGGGAACCCTGAAAGGGGTGCAGAGAAGAGAGAATGCATGGCTGGCTGAAGTTTCTAAAGAAGATGGGACATAATTAGGAAGAGTCAATATTCCAAATAGGTAAGAAATTTCCAGACTAGAGAAAATACTGAAATACCAAGCAGGATAAATAAAAGCAAATCCATATCTAGACATACTATGGTGAAATAGAAGAACTTTAAAGAAAACGTCAAAAGAAAAAAGAAAAAGAAAATGTTGAATGAAGCAGATATGGAAGAAAGACTTCTGAAAGGAAAGAACTGTAGAACACAACAAGCTCTTCATAATTGGAAATAAAATTACTATCCATCTCGAAATTTTTGCTCAGCTGCTATTTTCAAAAATGAGTGATAAAAATGAATATCCTCTCAGGCAATAAGATAACTGAGAAGTTTACCGCCAGCACACCCCACAGGAGGAAGTTCTGAAGAATAGCTTTCAAAAAAGAAAGAAAATGACCTTTTAAAGGGAAAGTCTCGCATGCAAAAAGAAATATTGAGAAAAGAAATTTGTAAACTCAGAGGCCCCAAAATAAATACCAGACACCAGGAACATGTAACTATTTTATGTATAGCTACATTTCACATCTAGCTACATGAAATTAAAACATGAGAAAGCAGTCATCTAATCTATTAACAAAGATGATCATAATTGACAAAATAGCCAAAAGAATGTTGAGAAGTAAAAATATCATTGAAATTTGAACTTGGGGTATTAGCATTAAATTACTCCCAGTGTGCATTAGTTTTAGGTGTAATCTCTAAAAGAATAAATATAGAACAAATAAATTCAAATCAGTAGAAGAAAGAAAGGAAAAACTGGGGAGGTTGGGGTTGTAGCTCAGTGGTGGGATGTTGGCAGGTATGCTAAAAAGAAGGAGGGAAGGAGAAAAAAAACCCAATTTTGCAATTCAGTTAATCAAAAAGAAGATAGCAAATGAGATTTAAAAAGAACAAGCAACACAATAAATTCAGAGTGAGATCATAGTCATGCACAAGGAGTGTGACGAAAGTATCCATTTAAATCTAGATATGTCTTATCTGTACATGCAGAAATAATGAAACTGAATATTAAAAAAATTTACTAGGAAAATATACACAAAAGTAAGCAAATTTAATAACTCTAATTTTGGGGGCTGGGGTTGTGGCTCAGAGGCAGAGTACTTGCCTCGCACATGTGAGGCACTGGGTTCGATCCTTAGCACCACATAAAAATAAATCAACAAAATAAAGATTTTTTTAAAAAACCCTAATTTTGGACAAAGATGTTCATACTTTTAAATTTTACCAGAAAGAACCAAGAGTTCTAAACTAGTACACTTGTAATAGAAATAACTCAGAATTCTAAGAATTACAAGAAGAAATTCACAAATTACCCAATAGGAAAAAGTTGAAATGCACATCTGTTAGTAATTGGTAAAACAGGTGGAAAATAATTAGAAGACAGACTATTTTGAAACCAAATTAATAACTTGATTTGTTATACACATAAAATTAAAGGATGCATCATTTTATCTAACACTTATGGCATAGTTTTGCAAACTGATTACAAACATCAAACATTTTTACAAGAGTTAGTACCATATGGACAGTTTCTCTGTGCAACTTGGTTAGAAGTGAATAGTAAAAATTAAAAATACATATTCAAAAGAACAAATGATTAGAAACAACTCAATAAAGATTATTTACAGGGGGCTGAGGATATAGCTCAGTTGGTAGAAAGCTTGCCTTGCATGCACAAGGCCCTGGGTTCAATCCCCAGCACCGCAAAAAAAAAAAAAAAAAGATTCTTTACAAGCAATAAACAATATGATTGCAAAAATCAAATAAAATTATTAAAACTAATGGGAGTGTAATAAAGCTGCTGAATCTTAGAATAACTGGATTCCTATAAAGAACATGATATCATAAGAAATGTTATAAAAACATTTGCAAAATCAACAAAAGGAATGACAACTTGGAATAAAGATTTTTTTAAAAGTTTTTTATGGAAAAAAAAAGTTTTAAAAAGTTTTTTATGGAAAAGATAGCATAAACTTGATCATGAGAATTTAAGAAGACCTAAATAAATGGAAATAAGATTCTATTGCCATGCATGAGAAAACTGGGTACCTCTCCCTCAAGTGCTTTTTTGGTTTAATTTCAAACCAATGCCAAATATTTGTTCATGATTTTTTTCAATATGACTCTAAACTTTATGTAAACAGTGGGGAACAAGAAGCTAGGACTATGGTGAAGATGGAAACCAGGTGGGAAGACCTGACACACCAAACACGAAGCTTTATTTCAGTGATGCGCAGATGGAAGAGTGAAAGTCAATGGAGAGGCCACGCTGCCAGATTATTGTAATTCTGGATGATAATTATGTGGTTACCACCCCTCTTTCACTGGAATAATTGTGAATTATGAAACTTGACCTACCATTTTCCCCCTGTAGCTTTCTCAGTAGCACAAAATACTCAAAGTTCTATTTTACCACCAAAAATAAGTCCTTTGAATCAGTGAATGGTAAGAATTATTTATAGAACATTAGAAATCAAAAACAAAAGGGTTTGGAAATTATCTTACTGAATGTTTTAAGGAGTCTCGTGACCATGACAATTAGTATCATGCATAAGACATGAGCAGTTGAGAATGCCCTGTACTAATGAGAACAATTTTAAATATAATTGTTAAAAACTCCCACAGTTACCGAAGTACTTTACAAACAATAAAACTGTTATAAAATCTGTTCTAATATATTCTACAAGCATTATTATTTGCTTATGGATTTTCAGAATTCTGTATGTACATTGTTAATATTGAAGACAGCATTAAGTTGTAGTTTTTCTTACATTGGAAAGCATAGTTTTGAATGGTTCCTCTGTATTCAAGGATCCTCAATGAATAACTAATATACACATTTTTCCTCTTAAATGGCAATCACAGGATTTAATTTGCCAGGTTATCCCTAGAGTTGTAATAAGTTCCCAGACTGACTCCCCCAATAATGTGGTGGTACCTTCTAGCTTTCTGACAGCCTGATTTATGACAAACCAGACATTGATGTGCTTGTTATAATCTGCTTGTGTGCTTCTGTTTAGCAGGAACCACAGGGACTTACTTATTTAGTCTGATACTTTGAAATGAATTGATTCAATAAAACCGTTTTTTTTTTTTAATTTCAGGATATTCATCTTCTATTTTTCATAACACCATATGCACTTCCAGTTACTTTATTAATAATTTTAAGAAAGAATAAAAGTTTTAATAATTCTAACTTTTCTATCTTAAAAGAATATTTGGTAGCTAAATATAATTGGAATGATTAATAAATTATTCAGATTCATTTCTGTAAAGCTATTAGGTTGAACCATGTTAAATTCCTGGATTTTTTTTTTTTTTTACCTGCAAAAGTGGTATTTTTCTGTGCTTCAATTTGTGTATCCTAGAGTAAGTGACAGTTTTGTAACTGTTAGTAATTAAGACTTACTAGTTCTACATAGATATGAGACATCAGAAAGATAAACTAGACAAAAAACTTTTTTGTCCATAAATTATAAATGCAAATATAATTGAAGTCTTCAATAAAAAGTATGAACATTTAAAAAGTATAGAAAAATCTTATTTTACCCAGAGGGGAAGCTGTTGATTGCCAGCTTACCATCCAGGGTCTCTGGCTCCTTTTCTAGTCCTTTCTGTATTGGAAACATAGATATTAATGTTTCCTCACTTATTACATTACATAATAATAATATAGTTGCCATTACATTTATGATATTCACTAGAATACCTAGGGGCACTGATAATGTTTTTTATGTCCATATACCCAACACACAAAGCCTGGTAGATAGAAAATGTTGAATAAGTGTTTGTCGTATGAGTGGATGGTGATAAAGGTTGACAAAGCACTTTCTATCCCTCCTGTTAATTTTA